CTGTTTAGATAAAGACCCCAATAGGAGGAATGTAAGGAATGTGACCTTTAAACACTGAGGACCATTACGCAGTCAAGATATAAAAAAAGCAAGGTAAATATTTTCACTCAGAGACACGTAACTAAAACAGTCCTATTTACTGGGATTTATGGCCTAGTGGACTTTCAACCCATTTCAACATAAATTCATTATACATTATATTATGATCCCGTCTTGTTGACCTTCTGCGTAGGAGGCTGAGGGAGATTAGGTTCCCATAACAACTATTATGTCACCGCCCGGATAATACTGGCAGGTGCTGGGTAAGGAATATGTTAGAATCAGCCTAGAATTCAGGATTAAAGTTCAATCCGAATTCACTGTACTGGCACTGGAGATGCAAGCACACTGCCAGACGCACGAGTTAGGTTATCAGTAAATCTGCTGTTTTACATGAAAGATCGGGTGTGTAATACCAATTAGCATTCACCCTCTTCATTCTATCATACGCTAATGTTGATAACGAAACGTTTGCCAGAGAGAGAGAGAGAGAGAGAGAGAAAGAAAGAGAGAGAGAGAGAGAGAGAGAGAGAGAGAGAGAGAGAGAAAATATATATATACATATACATATATACGCTCCTATCAAATCATATTACATCTGCGTCAGTACAAATGAAATATATAAATGGCTTCAAATAGCCTATAAATTTTAAAGGCAACTAAAATGAAGACGTCAAACAAACATTGGATATTCGTAACATCAATATATTTTCCCTTAGGTGTTCTTCGAGAGCTCTTTGTCGTGTGTGATCGCAGGGCAAGGGGAAGGTACTTTTTCAGGGTATTGGAAACGAGGATCATGATGACAAATGCCCACGCGGTTTTGAAGTCACTATAGTTTAAAGAATCAGGAAGTTTTTACCTAATTGTGATGTTATTAAACCTAATTGTGATGTTATTAAAAACTTTTTTTTTATATACGTTTAGTATGTTGTATAAGTTATGAATGGTTTTCCAAACTGGAAATAACTCTGTGTCTGTAAACTCTGGTAGCTATTTTCACGTGTACATATGCATATATAAGTATATATACACGTGTAAATAGTCACCATGGAAAACGACATTTCATAAATAATTCTTAGACATTTTTCTTCTAAAACATTTTAGGAGCAAGAGAGTTCTGACACACAGAATACCCGCCTAACTTAACCTTAACAACTCTAAACTACCCTTTGAGTTGAGTGATTTAAGTTATAAGGATTTCTACGTAAAATGCACACACACACACACACACACACACACACACACACACACACACACACACACACACACACACACACACACACACAAACACGCACATACAAACACACACACACACACACACACACACACACACACACACACACACACGCACGCACGCACGCATACGTACACACACATCTTTATATATTTTTTTATTATTACATACACACATACACGTGTCCCTGTGTTCATTTGATGTATATATGTTTGCGCGCGTGTGTTACACCAAAAAAAAATAAATCACACGAGTAAAAGTAAATGCCACTTATTTCAAAAAGAGCCCCCCCCCCCTAAAAAAAAAGAAAAAAATGAAGAAGAAAAGAAAGAAAGAAATGAAAAAAAAAGGAAAATAAACTGCATCTCTCTTCAATATGCTTTCACTTCGTGCGTGATCAGATTTCGTGCTCTAGGTTAACTGTTCACCCTCCATTAAACGAATTTTATCTCTTCATATGTATGACGTATGCAAATGATGCTTATGGGGATTCGTTTCTATCTGTTATTATTAGATCTTGATTTATTATAATCGTCTGTACATATATATATATATATATATATATTTTTTCATGGTTTTAGATATAAGCTGTGTTTTTTTAGTTCACGCACATACTCACGGACGCATAATCACACACAAGGACACACACACACACACACACACACACACACACACACACACACACACACACACACACACACACACACACACACACACACACATACACACACAAATCTTATTTCTTATAAAAATGGAGCTAATGATTGCAGCAAAAGCTCAAGGATCCTTGGATGCCTTAAAACAATAATCATAATATCCTTAATAGCAATGACAACAGTAAAAAATGACGATAGTAAATCAGTGATAGTGTAAAACCGATAATAATGATGATGTTGATCGTCAAAACTTAAAACGTCTTATAACAACAAAACAGCAACAACAACAACAACAATAATAAAATGATAATAATAATAATGATAATAATATTCATAATAATGGTAATAATAAAATCTGATGTTCACAGCAACAACAATAATAACAATAATAGTACAAACAATGCTCATTAGACTTTGCAAATAGCGTGTTTAGTAGGAAAACCTAATCGTAAACTGGTGCAAATGAGGCTCTTCAGCAAATCGTCTAGTGGAGATTAAACGAGCAATTAAATACGGATTTCGAGGTGTTATCGTGCTGAGTAGAAGGCTGTTGCAGTATGTGGAATACTCCGGAGAAGCAACGCAGTTCAGTTTCCGGTAATCAAGGATGTCACTTTCTCTCTCTTTCTTTTTTTTCCCACTTCTCTTTGTCTGCCTCTTCCCCGCCCCCCACGCCCTCTCTCTCTCTCTCTTTCACTCTCTCTCTCTGTCTCTGTCTCTCTCTTTCACTCTCTCTCTGTCTCTGTCTCTTTCTTTCTCTCTCTCTCTCTCTCTCTCTCTCTCTCTCTCTCTCTCTCTCTCTCTCTCTCTCTCTCTCTCTCTCTCTCTCTCCAACTCGTTTTTACATTCTCGTTTTGTGATGTATACGATGGGAATGGATCTTCTTAGTACTAAAGGCCTTTTTTTTATCATCCCGGAACCCCTAACACTTTTAAAAAGAAGTTTTTATTTTACCTCGCATAACAAAATTAATTGAAAACCTTTAAGTATCTAATATCCTGGTTTGGGTTTTAATTACAAATAAAATGGGAAAAGTAACTGACAATCTGCAACTTCTATTGTTTATACGTATCGCTGTTTCGCAAGGCTGTGGGAACTTATAAATATATTTTTCAGATTCAGTCAAAATATTTTCATTGATTACATAGAGTGTTCTTCATGTGAAAAGCGGAAGTTGCATAAAGTTTTGCATCATATCGTATCCACCGCGAGTGAGCTCCGTGTCCAAATTAGCCGACTGGATAATTCCAATGATCACGAATATTTATTTGATTTATTGATTTAATTATATTAACCAATCAAGGTACACAGCCTTTTCTTTTATATTTTTGAGCCCTAAAGGTTAAATAATAGAGGTACAGAATGATTTTTAAGACATTTCTCCTACCGAAGTCAATACCACATCACATGACTCGGACACGTTGGAAATTCTTACCACGACGTTCCAGCGACTGTCGTGATTGGCTTCAAATCTTACCCATATAGAGTGAACGTGTATTTGATGCTTTGCTAAAAAGACAGAAACATTTTATACACCTTTACGATACATATTATTTTTTATCATCAAGCATACGATGCAGTCCGTAATAAAAATCCCTATCTGAGACTACGTGAAATATATCCGAAAAATATTGCACTCTGTATGGCTGGCCGGAGAGTACCAAACCACATCAAGGTAGAAGTGTACACTCTGATACAAACTGAAAAGATGTTGCAACAGGTTCTAATAGCGTGCGCGTAAAGGGGCTTCGGAAATGTTACAAAACAGGCTTTAAGTGTTGACGTACAAGTTTCATAAGATATATGGTAAACACTTACTACGCATAATCCAAGGCAATGTAAAGTTCTCTTATTTCAAACTTTAGAACTATATATACTTCAATTTTAGTCTTGGTCGTGGTTCAGTATGCTGGGAACTGACTGTAGTTGTGCCCATGAATTGCCTAAAACTCTGCGGATAATAAAATGAAAGACGAACCATTTGCCAGACTTTGCTAGTATCAATATTAACACTGTAGATACAACTGTTGACCATAATAGGCGCAATTAAGCCAATGCATACGACAGTTGACTTTGATACACACTTGTCAGATAATCGTATAGTCTAGTGCTACGATCAGCGAGATTTTTTCTAAACAAAAATCAGTGTTGCGAATAAAAGTAGCGTCTCTCCTAGCCTGTACATACAAAAAAGGCAATTTCGCGGCAGAAAATAGATTAAACTTTCGCTGAGTATTTTAGGTTTATTTTACTTCGACTGTATTCAACCGCAAATCGATCTGAAACGCCAGCTATTAGATAAGTCATTATGAAATCGGAGAGGCTGTCAAAAAAAAGAAAAAAAAAAAAGAAAAAAAAAAAGAAAAACAACACATATTTGAAGTACGGGAAACGTAACAGAAATCGTGCCAATGGTTTTATTGATGGAGTATGCAATAGAATAAGTGAACCAATATATAGATGACGAAAACATCCAGTAAACGTAAAGAGAAGGAAGGGATTAACGATCATAATGAATATGTTAATGCGAAAGTAATACTACTACTAATAATAACAATAGAAATGAATAAAAGGATCTAATTGATAAAAAGGGTATTGTTAAATGCTTTTGTCTTTTTATTTTTATATCCGATATGAAATTTCACTGTGGAGAGGTAACGTGGTCGCTTACAATGCTAACGGTCAATATCCTATTTCCTATTTCAAAAGAAATTGGAAACTGGCAACACCACTCTCATGGTAAATGGAATATAGGCTTCTCTCTCTCTCTCTCTCTCTCTCTCTCTCTCTCTCTCTCTCTCTCTCTCTCTCTCTCTCTCTCTCTCTCTCTCTCTCTCTCTCTCTCTCTTCGCACACACATACACACATACACACACACACACACACACGCGCACACACACACACACACACACACACACACACACACACACACACACACACACACATATATATATATATATATATCACGTCTTCCAAATAACCTTCAATCAGACAACCCTCACAGGTCACCATCTAAGCGTTCGAGTGTCAACCAAAATTATATACTAAAAAAAAAATCTCCATTTCAG